AAAGAAAACAAAAATCCTCACAACTGGACCAATGAGTAGCATCACAATAAATGGAGAGAAGATTGAGATTGTCAAAGAGTTCACATTGCTTGTTTCTACAATCGATGCCAATGGAATCAGCAGTCAGGACATTAGATGACATGTAGCATTGGGAAACTCAACCGCGAAGGAACTGTTTCAAGTGCTGAAGAGCAAGGATGTCTCCTTGAGGACTAAGGTGCACCTGACACAAGCCATGATATTTCCAATCGCCTCACATGCATGTGAGAGCTGGACAATGAATAAGGAAGACCGAAGAAGAGTTGAGGCTTTTGAGTTGTGGTGCTGGCGAAGACTGCTGAAAGTACCATGGACTGCTAAAAGAACTAACAGATCTGTCCTGGAGGAAGTGCACCGAAAATGCTCCTTGGAAGCGAGAATGGCCAGACTTCGTCTCATGTCTTTTGGTCATGTTGTCAGAAGGGACCATTCCTTGGAGAAGGATGTCATGCTTGGTAGGGTGGAGGGTCGACGAAAGAGGGAAAGGCCTTCAACGAGATGGATTGACATGGTGGCTGCAATGATGGGCTCAAGTATGGCAGAGATCGTGGAGCTGGCGTGGGATCGGGCAGTGTTTCGTTCTGCGCATGGGGTCACTATGGGTCAGAAACAACTTGATGGCACCTAAATACAACAATAACAGGGTAAAATAATAATAATAATAATAAAGGCCTAATATACTTATTAGAGGCCCTTTATACAACGTTTTGTCCACTCCTAGTTTAAAGTATCACAAGAGTGAAGGCAGGTTCTTCTAGTATATCTAAGTGTGGAGTTACTTTATTTATCTTCCTTGATGGACAATCTGCTTTCTTTCTGTGAATTCTTGTCTTTCCTTAATTATAAAAAAAAAATCTCTACCATTATCTTTTTAAATATTGCTTCTCTCCCAGCTTCCTTCTGCCAGTCGGATCTGACTATAACAGACCTGCTCGTTTTGTCTTCCATGTCTCTTAACCTTCTTTCACGATTTTTGCCATCTTTGCTTTGAAACATTCTGGGTGATTTCTTTAGATTTGTCTTCCAGTTCCCTACTGCTCTATTCAGGTTTACTGCTACATAACATCCAGAGTTCTTATTTTGACTATTATGTTTTACATTCCTAAAATTTTCTTATTGTTTTTATATTATCATATTGCATGCATTCTTTTGTTTCTCCATATTTTATTTCTGTAAGTATTTCACATGCAGCTTGTTTTTTGTTGTTGTTGTTATTTTCAGGAGGCCATGAGTTAATCTCTGTCTATGGACACCAAGGGTCATGGTGTCCATGTTTTCCTCCAGAGAAGATTCACTTATACTCCTGCTGGTGGGCTGGGGTTACTGACATGTGACCACCTGTTTTCATTACCTAGTACTGCTCTAATAGGAATAGACCATAAATAGTAATGGCTTGAACAAACAGGAGTTAATTCTTACAGTTTTTATAGGCTAGAAACCCGAGTTCAAAGTGCCAACTCTAAGGGCTAGGTGAAAGCCCCTCAACCTTGGGCTTCAGCTGTGCCTCCTGCTCCTAGCCCCCTGAAGCTGGAGGCTTTACTTCACTCAGACAGATGCTGGCTACTTAGGCTCACAAGCCCAAGGCTGACAAGTAAAAAGTCACAGTCCCAATGTTACCAAACAACATGGCAGGCCACTAATTCAAGTCCAAAAGAAGTCCCAAGATTGGCAGGGCATGGCAGGCTATTGAACAACGACTTGGCTACATGTAGGGTTCAAGTGTGCCAAAAAGCTGGACCCTTCCTCAAAGTTGTTTCTTGTATACTGGATGCAGCCCACATCCCTAAAGTAACCACTCAGCTGCTCCAGTAGATTCCACCATTGAACTGATTGCTAATCTCACTATGAAGAATAACTACATCCAGCTTCCCAGCTACTCAACCAGGCCGAGCCAAGTTGACAACAGCCTTAACTACCACACCACCTTTGCCACAATTTTTGCTCCCCTCTACTTCCTTGCCCCTGACTGAGGATAAATCATCCAATGTAGCATATTCTTGGGGTGGTGATATTATTGTTGACTTCCCATTATTTTTTAAGAGGGTAGGCCCCATGGAGATTCACCATAGGTGTGAGCCCAGCATATAACAAAATCTTCTCTGTCATCATTCTGATGCACGAGTGAGTGCCTTTTAGAGTCCACAGCCACAGAGAGCTAAGATGTCTTTACCCACTGTTGTCAGTCCACAGGTCTTTACTGAGCCCCTATATCTGCCTGACCCTGTTCTGGCCACTGGAAATTCAGAGTGAACAGAAGCAGTGAAAGCCCTACCCTCTGGGAGCTGATAATTTTAGAGAAGGCAGATGGTGAAAACCAAGGCAGACAGGGTGATGTGCTGTGAAGATGAGTGGACTGGATCAAAGGAGGGGTGGGGTCAGGGCACAAAGGAATGGTCTCAGAGGTGACCTTGGGGCAGGGACCTGAAACAGTGAATCATTGCATAATTATGTGCTTCTTACTAGTCGGATCCCCAAACTGGATTCTTTGAAGGAAGGATGGTTTCACTTCTCAGGTTCCTGGTTCCCATCCCTGCCTATCCCAGAGGTGCATGTTGGGGTGGAGGAAAAGGCTAAGCCTCCTCTTCTTCCATTGGTGCCCTCATGCACATCTGAAAACAACTTGTTCCTCTGCATGTTCATGTGCACATCTCTGTGCCCACCAGGCCCCATGAGAAAGACACGTGGTGCGCACCTGGATCCAGAGCCAATGGTTAGGGCCCCAGGTGCAGGAGCTCTCTAATTGGAATTTACACAGCATGTCAGGGTCCAAGCAGGAATACCAGGCATACCTCAGGCACGGTTGTGTTTGTTAGTTGCTGTCTCATGGATATAGATGGAGAACTTTCACCAACTTTGAAAAAATGCTTTTCCACAATAGTATTTCTCTTGATGATCTCTAAAGCACAATTTGATTTTAATAATTTAGCAGTTCCTTTTGGGACATATTTATTTCCTACCTTTCACACCTGCAAATGCCCATTTGTTCAGCTAGTCACAGTAAGTTATGTAATTGGCTGTGACTGTTAATTGCATCTTCTTGTAAGACTTGGGGCAGGCAAGGCAGTCAGACCTATAGGAAATTGCAAAGACCCACTAAATCACTTACAGTATCTTTTGTCAGCCTGATAAAAATGTGGTTATTTAACTTTCTTCTTATCTTATACTTACAGATGGATTGAATTAGTTGAAAGTAAAATTTTATGATTTCATTCAGTTCTTTTTTCCATCTATTTAGTATGAAATCATCACAACAAACAGCTTTCAACACAATCAAAAATTCCATGTCAAGTAAGTAAAATAATGCCTGAAAGGGGAGAAGATAAAGATGCATGGTACTGAAGTTCACTCAATAACATGCTAACATTAAGGTTTTTTTTTTTTTTTTTTTTTTAACTTCTTTTATCACAGTGCCTTTAGCAAAGCCAACTGGACATCTTCACCTTCTACCTAGTTCATCAGACTCAGAAAGGTACAGGTACATCAATACTCAGAGTTCACGGAAGTCACTGAACCAGCATTTGTAAGTTGCACAAGTTCTTCCTTTGGACACTCTTAGATTTCTCTTCCCATCCCATGGTGTCTCCAAATTCCTAGGTCCTGAGTAACCCAAGTCTTCAACATTTTGCTGAACATTGAACAATACAGTCAAGTATCGGGCAGTTATGGACTTGTGATTCCAGCTGCCTTTCGTACCTATGGTACAATTGCAACAGATGTCCCAGCTGATCATTGAATACTGGGATGGGAGGTAGAGGGAAATAGGGAAGAGAAAGCAGAGCTGCTCGATCATGTCTTCCAGGGCCAGAGAGGAGTGATGCAGATCTTGCCCTAGGTCCCTGGAGAAAGGAAACTTAAGAGAGAAAAAGGACCTGTTGTTGAAAATGTCAAGCACAGGCCCAAGTGTTTGTTAGCTTTAGGAGCTTTTGTATAAGCATGGAAAGGCCTAACAATCCAGAGGTTGTTGTACCTCTCTTGATGAGGATTGGGGTCCAGAAGGATGTGAGTGTGTGATCAAGGTTGGCCAGTCAGTGTACCCCATCCCTGTGGCTATAGTGGTTGGTTTGGCAATGTCATGTGCCCCACATATTTTGTCAATGTGAATCAACCCTGGGAATCTTGATGGAGCTGTCTGAAAAGAAACAGTCACTGGCCAAGCTGGAGTGTATCTTTTCCATTATCTGGGGAGGGCTAGCTCAAACTAGTCCAACACGAGCAAAGAGACTGTAGTGGCATTTGAGACATTGATCCCACCCTGACTGAAAGGAGATTGTCCAGAACTATTCAGTTGTGGCAACTAATGAATGTTTTCTCCACATTTTTCCCCTTAAAATGATTTGAGTTGTGTTTACTTGTAGCCAGAAAGGTCCTCATTGAAGGATCATCTGAGACAGTTGTTGGCATTTAGTCAGTCCCCTCCCCTCTTCCCTCTGCTTGCTCTCTAACAGCATAGCATTGGGCAGTTTGCTGGCATTCAGAAATGGAGTAAGTGATTCTCTCTTCCTCCTGCAGTATACCCAGATGAGATTTTCTGTCCATTTTAACTAATTAACTAAGAGACGGACAGTTATTGAACATTGTTATATAAAATATAAGGAGCAAGCATCAAGTATTAACAAAGATAAATAAGATATCCCCATACAACATCAGTTCTAGTACAGCAGGCATCAGGCAGGAATTAGAAGAGCTAAGAGATGGAGTGGCAGAAAGGAAGAAAATTCTAGAGAGAGACTGGACCATTCTAAACACGTGGCTGCTTAGAAAGAAGGGTGCAAGTTTACAAAGGTGAAAATGTGAAGAACTGAGGTCCAGGAGCCAGGTAAGGGCCAGATCAGAATGGTCTCTGTATCCTGGAGGAAAGTGTGTGTTTTAATTTGAAGACATTTGGCAGCCATTAAACAGCTGGAAGAAGGGAGGTGGCAATGATCAGAATAGTGATTTAGTGAGCTCTGACCGAATTATGAAAGTAGAAAAAGATTTAGAACATTCATAAATGGTCTAGTTATGTGTAAGTGTGCTTAAATAGATGTCATTTAATGATAAGTCCAGGCTTATCTGTGTATTTCACTATATATTTAACAGAGTGGAGTGCATGGAAGTTGATGTCACTCCTTCCCCCATGAGAAATGTAAGTATATTTCATTGTTTCTTACCCATGGACCAGATATTTCCCATTTATAATTTTTCTTAATTCTAATAAATGTAAGCTTTTATTTAATAATAGATGTACATAGTTTTATCACTGACAGTGTCTCTTTATTGGCTTCTGAGCCAAGGGGCTGACTAAGCTGAGGTCTGGTTTATAAATGGTCCTGAATGACCATTGCCTAGAATGCCCATTGCTTCAATATTTGGGCAGTGGTGGGCATCAGGTGAGAGAAGAGTGAACAGGGAGGTGGCAGGTTTACATTGATATTGACGGCAATAAGCAGCATGAGGACCTATGCACAGAGGACTAGAGAGTATGCACCAACTTTCAGTGTCAAGGAGAGGGAGAAACACTTCAGATCAGAGCCAGACAGAGGTGCTGGTCTTCAAGAGGTGACCCAAGTGATCACATGAGTATCAGGAACAGAAAGAAATCCTTCTAAGCCCAGGAAAAGCAATAGGTTAGAAATGGAAAAGAACTCTGAAAGACAGACAAATTCACATTGTAGAGAAACCAGACCTGAGGAAACCATGGCCCAAAACACAGAGAGATATGAAAGGCTAGAAGCTCTAGGCTGGGATCCCTCACCTCCTTGGTAAGGCAGAGAGTGATCTCATATGCTTTCTGGGAGCCAAACACCAGGGCATTTCAGAACCAGGAGGGAGACCACAGTTTTGAGGATGGAGACCACAGTATTGAGGAGGGAGACTGCAGCACTAAGGAGGGAGATCGCAATATTGAGGAGGGACCCAGGTGGATGAGTCACCTATACTAGGGGTAATAGATTAGGGGATTATAAGGAGATCCCAGAGTAATAGACAGTGAAATTAGCAAAGGCAGGAAAAGTGAGTTTTAAAGCATAGTGAATAGATTAATTTGTTACAAATTTATTTATTTTTTTTAATTTAATTTTCAATTCTTAGATATTACTTTGTGGTAACATTGCATAGTGTTTATTATTGGCAAGCACTGTTCTATGCACTTTACTAATAAGGACTCAGTCTTCCTAGTAGCCCTCAGAGGTGCAATGCAATTGTGTAGGCATGTAAGTGTGAAATAACGCTCATTTCTAAGGGAATCATCCTGAAACCAGATCATGGAGGAAACTGAATTCTAGTATAAGAAGGTTGCACTTTATTAAATTGGGGGAAAAAAGACCCAGTAAATGCTTCAGTGGAGGAGAAAATCAAATTCCTTGGTAGTTAATAGGAGCAGTTGCCTCCTTTCCCTGCCCAGACCATCCTCCTTGACTTTTCCCTTCCATGAACACTCCCATTGCCTGTCCATGCTGTCCAGCAGGAGGGCATTTGTGATTCCAGGTGGGACATACTTCTTCATTACACCAAAAGGGTGATCTTGGACACCCTCCTTCCCTATCCTGGACATCTGGCACTCTGTACCCTGGCCAGCCCCAACTTCAGGCCTCACCCAGGTAGCTCTTGAGGAAGTGTTCCCTGTATTTCACAGGCTTGCGTGGTGAGTGCACATGTCTGCTGCTCACTCTCAGGGCTGACTAGAACTATGTGTGTTCATCTATTCTTTGGTCCACTCATGACCTTGTCTTGGAGGCTAAAAATTATTCACAACTTTGCTATCCCCTCATTTCATGAGGAAGAAGTCTTTCCTGTCAGGTAAGGACTCATCTGTCAATTTGTCGTACTGTAGTGGCTTACATGTTGCTGAGATGGTAGAAGCTACACCACCAGCGTTTTAAATACCAGAAAGATCACCTGTGGTGAACATGTTTCACTAGTGCTTTCAGACTAAGACAGACTAGGAGGACGGACTCAGTGATCTACTTCCAAAAAAAAAAAAAAAAATTGACCGGTGAAAACCTTATGAATGGCAGCAGAACATTGTCTCATATAGTGCCAGAAGATGAGCCCCTCAGTTTGGAAGGCATTCAAACTACCAGTGGGGAAGAGCTGCCTCCTTGGAGTAGAGTTAACCTTAATGATGTGGATGGCATAGAGCTTTCAGGATGTTCATTTACTGATGTGACACAATTCAAAATGAGAAGAAACATCTGCAAATGTCCATTAGCATTTGGAACATGGAATGTACAAAGGAAAAAATCTAGGAAAATTGGAAGTGCTCAAGAAATGCTATGGAACACTTAAAGATTGATACCCTAGTCATTAGTGAGTTGAAATTGAATTGGTTTTGACCATTTTGAATCATATTAGCATATGGCCTCCTATACTGGGATTGAAAAATTGAAGAGGAATGGTATCACATTGATGTCAAAAAGAACATTTCGTAATCAATTCTGAAAGACCAATACAAAGAAAACTACAAAACAGTATTACAAGAAACAAAAAAAGACCTGTGTAAATGGAAGAGTATACCATGCTCATGGATAGGAAAACTTACCATCATGAAAATGTCAATACCACCCAAGCAATGCACAGAAATAATGCAATCCCAATCCAGATTCCATCTCCTTTCTTTAAGGAGATGGACAAACTAATCAACTTTATATGGAAAGAAAAGAGACCTTTTGGTAGTGCTTCTACCAAAGAAGCACTACCAAAGAAGAAGAACAAAGTAGAAAGTCTCACACTCCCCAATCTCAACACCTACTACATAGCCATGGTAGTTAAAGCAGCCTGATACTGGTACAATGACAGACACTGAGACAAATGGAACAGAATTGAGAACCCAGAAGTAAATCCATCCGCTTATGAGAAGCTGATCTTTGGCAAAGGTCAAGAACTCATTAAATGGGGAAGCAGTAGTCTCTGTGGTAAATGGTACTGGAAAAAATTGATATCTATTTGTAGAAAAATGAAACATTCTGTATACAAAAATGAACTCAAGTTGGATCAAAGATCTTGAACATAAAACCTACAAACATAAAGGCCATCAAAGAAAAAATAGGGACAAACTTAGGGGCCCTAATTCAGGGTATAAGTACACTATTGAAAATAACTCAAAACACACAAACAGCAGAAGAGAAAATAGATGACTGAGATCTCCTAAAAATTACACATTTATGCACATCAAAAGATTTCACCAGAAGAGTTATGGTGCAATGAATTACTTAGTATGGCTCTTCTAGCCATGGTCTTTGTGACTTTCCCCAAATGACTAGGTGGAACTATGCAAATGTGAGGTGCTTGTGGCCCACGAAGGGGATTGGATATCTTGCTAATAATGTAGATAAAGGTACATGGCACCCTTGTGGTGGTGAGCCCATGCAAATAAGTTGTATGGAATCCTTATTTGAGGATTGGTCAGTTTTGCCATATCTCTAGGGGTAAATGAGCCATCCCAGAGGTGGGAAGGAGGAGCTCACTGCTATCCAGAAATAATACCCAGGAGTAGAATACATCCTTTAGTTCCTGGGTCCCTGCACTGAACTTCTCTCACAGGAGA